TAATAATAATAATAATTGCTTTTATATAGTGTATATCCATGCGGTACAATCTGTAATATAATGTGCGCTTTACAACTACATATATTATAACCCAAGGAGACTGAAAACACTCAAAATATTCTTGGCTTCCAAGGAAACGTACAGTTCAGGTAGCCTATCAAGCGTTCTAACACTAACAAACGGACTATATCTTTCACCGTCTATTGCCGGGTACCCATTTCCACCAGTGTGAAGTGAGGGAAATTCGTGTAAAGCGCTTTTCTAAAGAAAACAACGTTGGGCCCAGCTGAGACTCGAACTCCGGAACACGTAAACTCACGCCTTACTGGCGACTGGTAACGCCACAGCGTATTAAATTTTCCTGGAGAAGAGACCCCGTATCTTGAAAGTTAAACGAAAGTCTGACGTTGGCAGGGCCTCAAAATAATGACCATACTGTAAACGCCAATGGTCTCATGTTGGAAACTTCATTAGTTCCTGTGAGGAAGTCCCTTAATTTTTCACAAGCATCGAGACTTTCAGCAAATGGAAATTTTTACGAATAATTGATGCCTTAGGATAATTTAATGTTCTGGCACTTTTGCAATACGAAACCTAAGGGCTTCAGCTCCATTTTGTCTAACCTTGCACTGATATTTGACAGAAGTAATGAAACTGACAAAGGAAAATGTGTACATTGTAGAATATTCTATAATATGGTATGATATTATAATAATGGTGTAAGTTAGTATCGTAGGGATTTGAATTTGCGGGGTGGTGTTAGTTTAACTTCGTTTTCAATAATGTTTATCTAAGAAACTGGAACTTAAGGAGAAAATCGGAACCTGTTGTCAGCACTGGAATACATTTCCTTTTATCCTACCATGAAGATGTACTAAATGCAGTCTTTTACGAACATTCAAGACCCACTTCTCAGCTTCACCTGACGATTTTGAAGAGGAAATTTCTATCAAACTTTAGTAAAGATGACAGGACAAACCTGTAGTAGCTCTCTTCAAAAATGAAAAACCATAAAAACCCAACTGGTATAAGCTGACAGGACTATTGAGATCTATAGTTTCTCACCGTTGACAAGACATTTTGTTCGTCCCTGCCCATTCCTATCAGATGACATATTTTTTGTTTAATAAACTAAACAGAATGTACAAATGCTACTCTTATTATGTCTAAATAAGAAAGAATGAAATGAACAGAATTAAAGATCGATAAAGATTAAATATTTAAAACAATGCGTTTGTCAGAGCTTGTTTTTTAAAATCTTTGCTGAGGCTGTTAATTTCGACGACATCATTAATCATCCTTGCTCACCAGTGATGCTTTCGTCTGGATTGAAAAGCACCTCCATAGATAGTGCTGTATAAGATGTTGGGCTAATTCACACATGATATTTGTACCCCAGGTTTCCTGCTCAAGGGTTTTGGCAGCTCTGCTTTCGTGAACTTTGACATTGTGAGCAACGGAAAGTCATTTGAAGGTGGTTACTTCACTGTGCTTGGAGGTTCTGCAGAGATGCCATGGCAGTTTGACAGACTCTTCAAATACGAAATCACCGATCAAGTAAGTCTTTGACTTCAATTGTACATTACTCTTTAAAATGGAATAGAAATTAAATAAATTAAAGCATTGAAATATACCGGACTCTAAAGAACGTCGCTCTTTGCTGATCAATATCTTGTGTACTCTCACCTTATGACTACACAAAGAACAGCCAGAAATCTTGCTAAGTGTGATACTTTGACTCTGTAAAATTCCGAAAAAAATACAAACAATGAAAGAAAATAAAAATCATTACCTAAAATCGTAAATCATTGTTTGTGTTTAGAGTTAAGCCCTGAAATGGAACAAGTGTTAAAGTAGAACGTAATGCAAAGTAAGCAGACGAGAAACATGTTCTGCAGCTGTGAAATATAAACGACTATTATTCTTGTTCTCAACCCTTGTAAGAGATTGTAAAACATGTGATCACTTACCCACTAAACCACTCAAACAGTTAGAATTTCCATTCATTTCTCGAACGTATTCTGTGCAACGGAGATCGTAGGACATTCTCTTCTGCTTTCTACTTTAAACTTTATCTCTTATCACAGCTTAATCCACGTCGTAAATAATAATGTATATTTTACACTTTGGACAGTTTCAATTCTAACCGGTCTAAAAAATCTTCATCAGCTGATCGCCGCCAACCTCCGCTTCGACGACAACTACAGCTTTAACATAAGTGTGCGTCTCCCCGACGGCACAGTTCTCGACAGCAGCCTCATCCCAACCCCTAGCGTCCTCTTCAAGTCTGCCCAACGTGAGTATTTTAAAACATTAATTGGAAGTTGGGGGGGGGGGGGTATTTTTGTAAAAAAAATTCCTAAATTAGAGAGAGCGTACTTGCGTTTGTGGTGTATAGCTCAGAGTCGCTGCCGTTGTATGAAGAAAACGTGAGTTCAATTCCTGTGTGAGGAAGTGATTTTGTGGAGTGTCTATGTTGTTTTGATGAGAGAGGAGTAACACCACAGCGTATAAGCAAAATTTAATTTCTGATAACATTTTTGTGGCCTGTTCAGTGCATTTTGAGGTGATGCTCTTTAGAGTCTGTCAAATCACATAATATAGGGAAAGTAATGTGATTGCGTGTCTACTCGTGTGATTATGTCTGTGTGTGCGCGCGCGCGCGCGCGCGTGTGTGTGTGTGTGTGTGTGTGTGTGTGCCTGTATGTGTGTTGATGAGTATGAATACTTGTAAAAAGTCGAATGTCGTTTAAACGATAAATTTCATTATTGATGGAAAGCACATAGATTCCAGTTGGGAAATGGAAACTATAGAAATCTTCTTCTTCTTTCTCTTTAAAAAAAAAGCTAAAGGGAAACGTTTGCTTTGGGATATTGAAACGATACCTCTGAGTGTACCCCGAAGAACACATAATTATTTTGTTTTGCTTTCGAAAGTTGTAATGCTGATACCAATTCATAATGTCAACATGGATAGAAAGTCAAAATCCTTCTCTAGGGTAATGCGTAGTTACCCCCATTACCGTCTCCTCTCTTCAGATGACTTCAAACGTGAGCATGTCGCCCCCAATCACGTCCGTCGTAACCTTGACACTCTTGAGGAGCGTGACCTTCAGAGCCTCAAGGCCGCCCTTCGTGACCTTCAACACGACAACTCCAATGACGGCTGGGCCAGTCTTGCCTCCTTCCACGGGTCGCCCGCCAAGTGCTCCACTCCCGCCAACGAATCAGTCGCTTGTTGTATCCATGGCATGCCCACGTTCCCGCACTGGCACAGGCTGTTCACCTTGCAGGTAATGTTAATACCGATACCTGATGCGATCACTACAGCAACGACAGAACCCACAAACATAATGCTGTGATTATATAAACAAAATGCAGCACAAAATAAACGTATTCTTGTTTGTAATGCAACAGTTAGACGCTTTGCTGTGCCACGCAGAAGACATGGGTTCGATTCCTGTGTGGGGAGGTTTCTTCAATCAGATGTTCAGTCTCTGTTTATTTGTTTCCCTCTCAATCCAGGTTGGCTCTGTAATAGTCAGGGTCGAAGAAGCCTACCTCCTAATTGATCTAAATAGTTTACATTGGGCATTGAACATCTGCAATGCATTATCTTTACAAATAGAAAGATAATCGATAGAATAAGCTCTATCGTCACTTTCACCAACACAGGGGTCAATAAAAGCTGTGAAAAAGAATGATCACACTGATTGAAGTCCAAACTATAGTCCCTCACCACCCCAGGAGACCCCCTTGTGCATCTGGACCTTTGACATCAATCGTTACATTTTGAAATTCTCCCCGAGTCAACGTCTCTGTCCCACCAACCTTACTTCTCTTTTCTCCACCCCCCCTCTCTCTCCCCCTCTCTGTCTCTTTCTCTCTCTTTTTCTGCCTTTCTCTCCCTCTATCGTCCTTTGCCTCCCATTATGCGTGCGTGTGTGAATGTATGTGTTGTATATGTGTGTGTGTGTGTGTGTGTGTGTGTGTGTGTGTACCTGTGTGTGTGTGTGTGTGTGTGTGTGTGTGTGTGTGTGTGTGTGTGTGTGAGCGCGTGAGCATGTACATGTGTATCTTTTTGCGTATCTAATGAGCATCAACTTCAATTCCGTAACAAGGTGGAGCAAGCCTTGAGGAGACACGGAAGCGCCATCGCTATCCCCTACTGGGACTGGACTCTGCCCATCACTGACTTGCCTGAGATCTTCACTTCTCAGAACTACTATGATGTATGGAGAGATGAGGTGAGTTTTATCTAGTAGTTATATTAAGAGTTTTACAAAACGTGGCAACGCAATGGACCACATAAGGCAACCAGTGCAACAGAAATTTCACCCGTGAATCGGAGATGTACCGTAGGTATCTTTTTAAAGTTTTGCTGACATTGTTTCGATGAACGGACATACAATTTAAACAAATAAAAAAAGACAAACTCCGGTTCAAACTAACCAACACATCTTTGCCCGTTTATTGTCCAGGTGGTCAACAATCCGTTCGCCCGAGGCTACGTGCCGACTGAGGACGTATACACCGTGCGTGACATCAGGCCTGAGATCAGGAACAAGAACCAAGCTGGAGATCACTCGGCCATCTTTGACCTGGTCCTCTCAGCCCTGGAGCAGACCGACTACTGCGACTTTGAGGTAAAAGTCTAATTGTGTTTACTATTTGCAACTTTTTGTTCACCTATTGTATAACCTGTGCACTAAGACCATTACTCGAAAGAATTAATAGATTTATGTCAGTCTATTTCTAGAGCAGTGCATACCAACTTCAGCGACATCGCTCACAAGAGGGGGATTTGATAATTTTGGTGGGCGGTGGAGATCATTTTGGAAGTGACTTGTATTATTTAATACCCGCCCCACTTGGAATGCTTGTAGATGGGCAATACGAAAACTCCAACCTCTTAAAGGTGGCAAAACTGGGCGCTGGCTTGATAAAGATTGACAAGCACAGATTTAAAGTCTGTTAAAACGAGGGGTTAAAACAACAAGGTGTTTTTTTATACACACAAGACGAATGTTCCCTTGTTAAAGGGGTGGAACAAATAAGAATGGGCAAGAAAGTTAATTTTCATTGTCCCAAAATATTATTTTTTAGAAGCCTGGTGTCCTGAAATGGACACTTTTACTCATCTGTGTCTGGTAGGATGCACTGAAACTGAACTACTTTGGGCATATCAAACCCAACGATTCACTGGAGAAACATATTTTGAAAGCAAAAGTAGATGGCTAATAATGCAGGAAGATAGCTAACAGAAGATGAGAACAGGACAAAGAAACTTGCTTGGAGCCCAAACAAATTCAGTCAGGCAGAATGACTAGAGACAGAGCGTTTTATTGCAGGAAGGTCCGAGAAGTAACGACCAACTACAGAAAAAGAATACTGTAAAATTTGCACAATAGCAAACTAAGAAAGATAACACTTTCGTAGATTTAAAGACCCCTTTTCGAACGTCAGTGCAAATCGAATGTTTCTTTTCTGTTTTTATTTTTTTTAAATAAAGAGAAGTACATAAACACAATAATGGTCATACAGCGTACGGAAGAAATGAGACAAATAAACGGCGTCTTTTAAGCACCCGCCGTTTCTATTTCCTCCTCACAGGTTCAGTTCGAGGTGATGCACAACGCTATTCACTTCCTGGTCGGAGGTCTCCAAACTTACTCTCTCTCCTCCCTCGAGTACTCGGCCTACGACCCTCTGTTCTTTATCCATCATTCCTTCACCGACAAGATCTGGGCCGTGTGGCAGGAGCTGCAAACCAGACGCCACCTGCCCGCCAACAAAGCTGACTGTGCTCTCAACTACATGAGCCAGCCCATGAGACCTTTCTTCTTCGAGGGTTTCAACTTGAATAAATTTACCATGTAAGCAACTGTTTTCCTTTTATATATGAAATGGAAACGAGACAGATTTGCACAGATGAAGCGTTAAAGTCCAACTGGCAGAAGATATATTATGATATAATTGCTGTAAAAACGGTCTCGTGTAATCTATAATCCAGTGCCCTCGTAAAATTGCACGCTAAAATTTCGTAATTCCTTTTCGCGCCTCCCCCAAAAAGAAAGGCGAGACAAGCACTGCTTTAGTCTAAAACTACACAGTGTCGAAGCCCGCCTCCTAAATGATCTAAATTGTTGAGCAGATGAGGAGTAAAACACCTGCATTACACTTTTGTATGTAATAATGATAATTAAAAAAATAATAATGGTAACGATAATTATTATTAACTAATAAATATATAACAATTATGATCCGTGCTTTGGTCAGTGCTATGACACACGTTCCTATCTCCGCAGGGACCACGCTGTGCCCAACACTGTGTTCGACTACGAGCACCTCGGCTACAGCTACGACGACCTGTCCATTGGAGGTTATGACCTGGACGGTCTGGAGCAGGTCATCGCCGACCGCCAGAGCAAGGCCAGAGTCTTTGCCGGGTTCCTGCTCAAGGGCGTCAAGACATCCGGCTCGGTGGTCATCAACATTTGTCTGGTGAGTTGTCTGTCATGCACTGTGTTTCTTTATTTAACAAAAAATGTACGTGTTTTTGTTTAAACCTGGTTTTAAACCAAGATAGCTGAAATATGCAGATTGACATAAAAACATGGTATTTTGATGCAGAAAGGTTCGAGAAGTAATGTCCCAGTTACTGAAATATGGCTAAGAGGAAGAAGGGTGTTTTTACACCCCTATCGAAACACAGTTTAGATCATATAGGCGACCGACTTTGACCCTGTCTGTGAGGGTCAACTCTGGACGAGAGAGATACAAAGTTCCAACATAACGATTGAGATGCTGGATAAAGAATTATCCTCACACGGTAATTGAATTTGGGTTTGCTGCCTGCAATAGCGAAGGGCTTATTCGCTACATGACAGACACCGGTGCTTTGTGACTCAGTATGATAGTGTGTCCGGTCATTAATTGTGTCTCATAATAGTATGTCTGGTCGCTTGTGTGCTATGGTGTGTGACGTTTATAACAGTGTGTTGTTAAAACTAACTTTTGAACATTCTTCAATAACAATGCAATTGTTTTCTGAATGTGTACCCACCGAAAAAAGCACACGTCTTGTTTCAGTATGTTTGTGCATGCGCGTGCGTGCACGTATGTTTGTGTGTATGTGTGTGTTTGTGTTTGTGTGTGTGTTTGTGTGTGTGTGTATGTGTGTGTGTGTGTGTGTGTGTGTGTGTGCGTGTGTGAATGGGTGTGTATGTGTTTGTTAGCGTCTCTGTGAGAGATTTTCCTTGCAGAAATCGAACCGACAGTAATACTCGTACAAGTACCAGCACTATTTTTGAGCTTGGGTTATCGTGTCGTGCTCAAGGACACATCCCAGTGCCACACTCCCCTCCAAAACACACCTTAACACCTTGTCACGGGCATGCTCTTGACATTAATTGTGAGCCTCAGCTCACTGACAACTCAACCACTGGAGCCCCGCCCTCAGTAATCTGATTAAAAAAATCACAACAAAATCTTTTTTTCGAAACCGACAGAGGAACAATGTGTGCAACTACGCTGGTCGCTTCAACCTGCTGGGCGGTCCCACTGAGATGGCATGGGCTTTCGACCGTCTCTTCACCTACGACATCACAAGTGCTTTGGAGCAGTCTGGCATCAATCCAGAGGACGTCTTTGATGCCGAGGCACTCTTCACACTGGATATCAAGGTCTTCGATGTTGAGGGACATGCGCTGCCTGTGAGCTCAGTGTTGCCAGAACCGACCATCATCTACAAAGCAGCTGTTGGTGAGTTCAGTGGTGCTGTCTTCTGTGGTATGCTGACTTACTCGACATTCTTAGCTGTTAGAAGGATCGTCGTTTTGAGCAGCATAGCTTTTTTTCTGAAATGGGAACTATTTGAATAGGCGTAGTTAGAGGATAGTGGTTTGGGGAAAGGCGTGGTAGGCACAATTATTCCAAAAATTCAGTTAAGATGGCAGAATTGCAAGTCAAATATTTCCCACTTTATTCATAATCAGCATCAAATTTTAATGGCTAATAGAATCTTAAAAGAGGCAATAACAGCAAGAACAACTATAAAATGGAGAAGAGTAACAATAATTACAACACGTCAAAATCTGCTTAAACAAAAGCCAACAATAAAAATAAATATACTAAATAAAAACCAATACAAACCTAGAACATTGTTTGAAAAAAGCATTCTATCTATTAGCCTTGTTTGATTATTCATTATCAATTGAGGACAAAAACCCCTAGAATTTAATATCTCTACAGCTTAGCTATGACAAATCGGACGACACGCTAGATCGTCTCAACTCTACGGGGCTGTGATTTGTTCCCACTTTCATATCTGAGGTTTATTATCTACCTTTTGACAACCCAGAAGCACTTTCGGTCTCCCGGAAAGCAAACAGTGCAAGCTGTAAACTGACAGGATCTTTATATCCGTTACACTTTGACCCCCAGGTGCCTCCGAGGAAGTGTCTTCGTCGTCTTCCCTGGCCGGTGTTGGTGTCCGTAAGGACGTGTCCACCCTGTCCACTTCTGAGATCGACAACCTCCGTGAGGCTCTCCGCAGAGTCCAAGCTGATGCAGGCCCCAACGGCTTTGCAGTGAGTAGACGGTTTTGTGACGGCTTGTAGAGTGTAGATGATCGGCAAGCTATTCAATTGTTCTTACCTCTGACAGCATAAATAATTTACTTCGGCGTGAGAAAGGCCAGGTCCTGACAGAACCAGCAGGAGAGCAGCAATCACAATGGGTTTCAACTCATAACGTGGGGCTTTGCGAATAGGAAATGCTGAATCCAAGAGAAAAGCGCGAAAGCTGCGCACATCCACAATGTTCAAAATGTGGCAAATATTTCTCTGCCAGAATTGATCTCATCGGCCAGAGCAGAAGTCAAAGTCATCTTAACATCTGAAATTCTTGTAACTGTTCTATTTCGCTAGAGCGATATTCTCCTCTGAAGATCTACTGGTTATCGTCAGAGTTGACGGACGAGCTATTATTATCATCATCACCATCTTTATACCCCTGATAGAAAAATTATACGTACATTATATATCATTAGTTTTTTTTTCAATATTTAAAATGTTTAGGTCACCAACATCATGCATGCTATCAAAGATGCAAACTCACGTTTTAAATTTTCTTCTTCTTCTTATTAAGACTCGAAATGTACCTCCACATTTATTTTGGTCTGCTGCTGATCTCACATATTATTAAGTGTCTGCTTCGTCCTTAAAGAGTTAACATGCTTTACGGTATTTTTAAGCATGTTCAAATATTTCCTCTTTTCCCAGAGCATCGCCGCCTTCCACGGAGAGCCAGCAGGCTGTGAACTGAACGGTCGCCGCATCGCATGTTGTCAACACGGCATGGCCAACTTCCCCCAGTGGCACAGACTCTTCGTCAAGCAGTTTGAAGACGCTCTCACCGCACAGGTACACTTTTTAAAGAACACCGTAGGATAAAACAACAAAATGATACCCTTTTTAACGTATGTCGTACGATAAAACAATATACACGATTAAAGGAAGTCATAAATACGAAAACCTGTCTAGTCCTCATGGTTGCACAGTTTTTAAGAATACCGAGTTAATACTTAAGGGGCTTAAAAAAAGACTCGCACTTTTCAGTGGATGTATTTCAATAGCTCTGTACAAATTACGTGCACCAATACCTTTTATGGCATACGTTTAATTTTAAAAGCCCTTTTGATTTCCAGCGCTTATATACTTATCTTCGGACTTAATATAAATGGGCCATGCCACGTAGAAAATTGTTTATTTGTCGAGTATGTAAAGACTAAACTGCAGCTCAGAACTGGATTTCACAAAATCATTCTATAGAGCTTATCATGCAGGCCTGTCAAGGTACTTTTGTCCCCAACACTTTTTCCGCCGCCCACTTGTTGATGAGCCACACATGATCTCCCCCAGGGCGCCATGATCGGAATCCCGTACTGGGACTGGACCACTGCCTTCACCGCTCTGCCTTCCCTGGTCACAGAGCAGGAGAACAACCCCTTCTACAACTTCAAGATTTTCAACGGTGAAGTGACGTCACGTGCCCCCAGAGAGCAGCTCTTCAATGACCC